AATATGTAGTCTCAATGAATAACATGACAATTTTTGCTAATATATAATATATATAAGATGAATATTTTCTTGACAATTAGAAAATCTAACATGTAGGGATAAAGGATCGAATGCAAAAAAAAAAAAAAAAAAGAAAAAAAAGAAAAGAAAAAACACCTAATTATATATATATAAGCCACAACGACCATGAGAATACTAAATTGAATTAGAGTGAATGTAAATACTATTGGGACACCACCAATAGTATTACTGCAAGTGATGCTTCGTTATCTTGAATACAGTCGAAAATGGCGTTGGCTTCGATATGGTCGAATAATAACCTGACCAACATGTTCCGACTCCACGCGCGCACGCAGCTTTGGCACCCACTATGGAGTAAAACCATCACAATAACTTTTTCGACGATCAGAATAAAACAAACCGTGGCCATAACAACTGCAGCGACAGCCATAGGAAGAACCTCCGGTTTTTTAAATTTTTTTACGAGAAAAGTCATAGAACGAGCGAGAAATATCGACCCGATGAAAACCACAATCCGGATGTCCATATAAATGTAATACTCGTTCATCAACTCTTTCTTTGTATCTGAATCTGCAGTACGTACACATAAAACATCAAATTTATATATACATATTATTGTAGTGTACGTACTGTACTTGGTGCATGCATGTTTGATAGCCTCTTAATGGACATGTATACTTATTCGGTCAGCAATATCCCATTAAGCTTGTTTGGTAAGTATGTCTGAATAAAGCCATCTACTTCTTATTGATTCGGCCTAAAATTAATCACTTATTCGGTAAGAGATTGCTCTGAATCCACTTGGGACAAATATAACCTTTCTTTTATTTTCTTCACAATGTCTTACGCCAAACTATTAAAGGCAATAAATGGGTGTCAGATGTTTCAAAAAGCCCATTTAACAAAACAATTAATGTAAATCTAATTTTTCGTTAAATTATTATTATAATGAAATATAATCCACCCCCAACCACACACACACACACACACACACATATATATATATATATATATATATATATATATATATATATATATTTCCTTCCACAATTGGTATTGTGGAATTTAATTTGTTTCCTTTTTTTTCTTGTGCAATTTTTGTTAAATCTTTTAAATTATGTTGAAAATTTTATTTATTTATATTTGTCAACATTATAGGATTTGAATTTACAACTTTTATTTATGTGTAAATAAATATAATATATAATTAAAAGTTACATAGTTATTTTTTTTTTTTATCTCTTTTTAATTTAATAATTTATAATTATAGTAAATAAATATATGTTCAATAATTATGAGGGTTTATAAATATATGTTCAATAATTATGAGGGTTTATATAGTAAAATTACATTATTTAGATACAATAACGTTAATGTTATCAAACAAGCTTAAACATTCAGCATTCAGTATTCAGACACTGCTCTTTACGATTCAGCAATATATTCAGCATTCAGTGTTCAATGCTTAATTCAACCAAACAGGCCCTAATGACCACTGAGTTTGCTCTATTTGCTGTTGATGAGGTTTCTGTGTACGAATGAAGAATATATTAAGTAATGGTAAATGGTATATAGCTAGTCATGAGTTATAACTAGTAGATATAGTTAAATTGAATTAATTACCGTGAGACGAGCGATGTCGTCTAGTTTGGAGAATATCGTCGCGATAGACAGTGCCGTATAATAAGCTGACGAGTGTGTTCCGACTCCATGCGCTCAAGATATCAAAACGTTCAATATGTAGCAAATACGTAAAATAAGCTTTTCCGACTCCCTGAATAACACTAATCGCGGCCAACACGGTTCCGAGGGCAAGCACATAAGCATATAGTTTGTTGAATAATATTAGTCCATACACCGAAGTCGAAATAACTAGCATTGAGATCAAAAATTCCCAAAGCATGTTATACAGCATATGCCAATTCTCTTTCATTAACTCCCCTTTAGCTTTTGAATCTGCACCATCAACATAAATCCCTTTCAATAATTAATTATTAATCGTTGTTTAATTTAATTTAATTAATTAGCGATTAACGACTTACCAATCACAAGCGAGGAGGAGATTGGCCTTGTTGTTGTTATTGTAAGGTTTCCCGCCATTGTGTGTGCAGTACTGCGTGTGTTATCAAGAATTGCAGATTTTTGTTAATCTAATTTGGGACAAGAAGAAAAATTATTGGATTTTCCTAGAGATTAATGACAATCATGAACACATACAGCGTAGTATATATATATATATATATATATATATATATATATATATATATATATATGTATAGTATGTATATATATATATATATATATATA